GCTGATCCTAGCTAGTCCATAATTGTAAAACCGGCTGCAGGACCGTGTACTACGGTTCTGCAGACATGGTAATTTAGTAGACGTTTTTTTTGTAGGACACGCCAGGTGTCATTGCTCGAATACATGGGGTTAGGTCTACTTTTCCTGGCGCCGATCAGCGTGGTTATCCTGACGCCCTTACTGCCTTTGGGCACTCGTTACTGGCTATTGGGATGGGCACTGGTGATTATCACCGCCCCCCTGCAAATTGCCGCATTGCAATATCCCGAACTTATGTTTGTCGCTCAGGGTGTTGGCGTTATCTTTCCTATGTGTCTATTGGCAGGCAGCTTCGGCTTCGTCAATCGAGACGCTCCCTTATGGATATTCTACCTGGCAGTAGCTGCATTTGTTATACGGGGAAGTCTGGCCTCCGCAGGTCTCTTCATAGAGGCGCGCATATCAGCGCTACCATTAGAAATTTTTGCCTATGTAATGTCTGCCTGGACGCTGAACCAGGCAGCAGATCAGCAACGAAGAGTAAACGTCGCCCTCGGCATAACCCTGATCGCAATGGCGGGAGTTGAAGTCTGGGATAGCGTGATAAACGATCCTGCCCGCAGGACCATAACCTCAGGTCTACCCTGGGTCATCGTGTATGTGCTGACAGGCGCTGTGCAGATCTGGGCCTGGTTAGACAAATCACGCCGTGAACGAAGCGCATCACTACGCTCAGCGCAGGAACGTTTTGATGCGCTGGCAAACCATGCTGAAGACATTATTGTCGAACTTAACAAAAATGCAGAGTTTGTCTATGTCAGCCCGAACTGCCTGAAGGTATTAGGCATCACCACACAGGAGATGTTAGGTAAGAAAGTGGGCGAGTTCATGCGTCAGGTATCCGCAGAACATCAAGGTGAAAGATTTCAGTTTGATCACCCCGAATCGTTGCAGAAAATCTCAGCTGCAGGCCCCTATGGCACGTTATACAAAGTGCGCCATGCCGACGGCTCACCCAGGTTTCTGGAAATCAGCGCCTCCCATTATTTCAACAGCGAGGGTGAAATCCGTGCGGTCGGTGTCGCGCGTGACATCACCCGCCGCATCGAAGAAGAACAGAGTAATCTTTCGCGTCAGAAACTGGAAAGTCTGGGCACCATGTCCGCCGGAATTGCCCATGACTTCAGAAATCTGCTGACAACTATTCGCGGCTCAACAGAACTATTGAAGCTTGACCTCGCAAAAAGCGCTACAGCGCGAACTAACAAATATATTGCGAATATTCTGAGCGCATCAGATCAAGCAGCTGGATTAACGGATCAGCTGCTAACCTATGCAGGCAAGACGCCTCTGATCATGAGCGAAATCATGCTGGGCGATGTTATTGCTGACTCTGAACCACTATTAAAAACTGTTGTCGCCGATCGAGCACATCTCTATGTGAACCTTGATACAGAAATACCGCCTATGCAGGGGAATCGAGTAGCGCTACAACAGGTACTCATTAATCTGATTACCAACGCAGCAGAGGCACTACCTGCACTGAACGGAAAAATCTGGATCAATGTGAGTACTCGCCTGGACGAAAGCGGACAAAGCCTGGTGGACTTGAAAGTTACCGATAACGGCCGCGGCATGGAGGAGTCAACCAAAACGCACATTTTTGAGCCCTTTTTTACCACCAAATTCGCCGGCCGCGGCCTCGGGCTTGCTGCGATACAGGGGCTAGTTACCGCCCACAAAGGACACATAACCGTAGACTCTTTTCCAGATCAGGGCACGACATTTAAGATCACTTTCCCAGGCTCGCGGCAAGACCAGGTCGAGCGTCAGGCACTTGGTGGGTGAGCACAAAAACCCGCTTGATGCATCACCAGACACAAACGATCCTGTTCAGTGGCGAATAAATTTGTAGCAACCATTACATTGCTTCCCGCCTGTTCGTAACAAACCACAGCGGCCGTATCGTCACTCATTTTTATGGTCTGGGCGCCGTAAAAACTAACCTGACCCTGTTGTGGATTGCTGAGAATATCATTCCAGCTATCCAGCACATCCCGCCGACCGACCAGAGCTGACCAGCCCGGGTGTAGACAGATGACCTGCCTCTCGCTGGACCAGATGTGGGACATAGCCTCAAAGTCTTTACTTTCAAAGGCCAGGTAAAAAGCTTCATTGGCAAACGCCACTTGATCCAGATTAATTGACATGACTTCCAGTGTACAAAATTGAGGTATTCATTTTCCTTTGCAGCAGCCTCTCAGGTAACCTTGTGCTATGCAAATCCTGACCTTTGATAATCAATTTATACAGACGTTGCCTGGTGACCCACTCGAGGAAAACGTGCGCCGCCAGCTGCACAGTGCAGTGTGGGCCCACGTCAGCCCCACCAAGGTCAGCGCCCCATATCTTGTGGCACACTCTGACGAAGCAGCTGCGCTGATCGGGCTGACCGCGCAGGACTGTCATAGCCCTGATTTCCTGCAGGTTTTTGCCGGCAACAGGACGGTTGAAGGGATGGTTCCTCACGCTACCTGTTATGGCGGTCATCAGTTTGGCAATTGGGCCGGACAACTGGGAGACGGCCGTGCTATCAACCTGGGTGAAGTTCAGCACAACGGTCAACACTGGATGCTGCAGCTGAAAGGCGCGGGGCCGACACCCTTCTCCCGCACCGCAGACGGACTGGCAGTCATGCGTTCATCTGTACGCGAATTTCTATGCAGCGAAGCCATGTTTCATCTTGGTGTGCCCACTACGCGCGCCCTCAGCCTGATTGGCACCGGCGAAGATGTGTTGCGGGATATGTTGTACGACGGACATCCCGAACACGAACCGGGCGCCGTAGTTTGTCGAATGAGTCCATCATTTGTGCGATTTGGTCATTTCCAGATCCTGGCCGCACGCAATGAAACAGATTTACTGCGTCAGTTCACGGATTATGTGATCAAGCGGGACTTTTCACATCTCGTCAACCAGCACGACAATCCACGAGACAGGTATATCGCCTGGTTCAAAGAAGTGTGTCAGCGCACCGCTGTGCTTATGGTGCACTGGATGCGGGTTGGCTTTGTGCATGGCGTGATGAACACAGACAACATGTCTATCCTTGGTGAAACCATCGACTATGGCCCGTATGGCTGGCTGGAGGACTTCGATCCTCACTGGACACCGAATACTACAGACGCTGCAAATCGACGTTACAGATACGATCAGCAACCTGCGATCGGTCAGTGGAATCTCATGCAGCTTGCTAACGCGATTTTACCCTTGATTGAAGACACCAAACCGCTCGAGGCTGCACTGTCGGATTACGCCACAGACTATGAGTCGCAGTGGCAACAAATGATTGCCCACAAACTGGGGCTTAACGTCTATGACGCCGGCTTGAGCAACAGCCTGTTTTCTCTGCTCACCGAAGTTGAGACAGACATGACGCTGTTTTTCAGAGCGTTGGCAGAGTTTGATCCAGCCCGGCCCGAGGCAGCAGAATGTTTTGATGTCGTCTACTACCAGCCAGACCAACTTAACCAGGCGTATCTTACAAAGCGTGGGCAATGGCTGGAGCACTACGCGCAGGTTGTTCACCAACAAGGCACAGGCGCACAGCGTAAAGGCAGCATGAACACCGCTAACCCGAAGTTCGTCCTGCGCAACTACCTGGCACAACTGGCCATTGATGATGCAGAAAAAGGCGACTTCGCTTACGTTAACAAGCTTCTCGACGTTTTGCGCAAGCCATACGATGAGCAGCCGGAAAACGAAATTTATGCCGCCAAACGACCGGAATGGGCGCGCACCCGGGTCGGCTGCTCGATGCTGTCCTGCAGCTCCTGAGCGAGGTTAACGTCAGCCCGCGACAAAACGCTCTATTCGATCCATGGCCTGTGCCAGCATGTTCGTTTTATGCGTCAGACTGAGGCGCACAAAGTCTCTGGCCACCTCACCAAACCCCTCACCGGGAATCACTGATACACCCTGGGCCGCCAGAAGATCCTGAGCAAAAACAAGCCCACTGTTACTCATGCGGCTGACATCCATCATGACAAACATCCCGGCTTTGGGCCTTACGTAAGACAGCTGTGGAATGTTATCCAGACGCTGCAACACATAATCGCGGCGCCGTTGATAAGCTTGGCGCATCTCTTCAACATGGGGGCCGTTGTGGACCAGTGCAAAAGCGGCTGCATCCTGAATAAACTGGCTACAGCCAAAAAAAGCTGAACCGGAATACGCCGTGATCGCCCGCGTCAGGCTGGCAGGACTGGCGACCCAGCCAACCCGCCAACCCGTCATCGCATGAGATTTTGACAAGCCGTCGACCACAACCACATTGTCCAGCTCTGTGGCCGCTTTGAGCAGCGATACATGCGGTTCGTCAAAAGTGAACAGCGAATAAACTTCATCGCAGATCAACCAAACCCCTCGCTCCAGAAGCGCCTCGGCCAACTGCGCCAGCGTTTCTCGCGGCAGGATGTTGCCAAAGGGATTACCCGGTGTGTTGATCAGTACCGCTCTGGTTCGCGCATTGATCTGAGCCAGCAAGGCTTCCACATCCAAGGCGCAATCATCATTCAAATCTAAGGCGACGGTCCGTGCGGTAAGCCCGAGAGCGCTCAACATCGGTCGGTACCCGATATACATGGGTTCCGGAATTACGACCTCATCACCAGGATTACAGATGCACGCCAGGCTGGCGTAAATAGCAGCCGTAGCACCAGGCAGCACAACAAAATTATCAGGTGTAAACGTCCTGCCGGTACCGTTGGTTTCCAGATCCGCAATGGCCTGACGCAACTCCAGTTCACCTTCAGCCGGGGAATAGTGGGTTCGGCCTTGCCTGATTCTGCTGACCAGGGTTTCTATAATTTCTTCGGGGGTATCAAAATCCGGATCACCCACACTCATCAGCACAATGTCTTCGCCGCGAGCAGTTCGCGCCAGAGCATCGTAGTGAATCTGCCAGACATCATCGCTGGGGCCAAGCAGGCGCTTGCACATGTCACTCAATGGTAAGGTGTTCAATACCAGTTCCCTGAAGTTTGATGCACAAAATTGCTTTCATCCAGCACAATGACCATGGGGCCAGATACAGGCTCGCCCAGCGCGCGTGCCAGTTCCACCAGATCCGTCGGCGCGCAGACTGTTGCACCAAAACCTGCCGCGATCTGCGCGTAATCCGGTGCCCGGTACTGGGTGCTGGAAGCATCTATACCCCTTGCTGCCATGCTGTTGGCAATTTCCTGATATCCGCTGTTGTTCCAGATAATGATCTTTACCGATACTTCAGCGTCTACCGCAACCGCAAGCTCTCCCAGTGTGAAGAGGATGCCACCATCTCCGATAAGGGCCACAACCGGCACCTGGGGCTGGGCAATCTGAGCGCCTATGGCTGCAGGTAACGCGTAACCCAGCGTGCCGTAGCCAGACGCTGAATGAAAATAGGTTGCGGGACTCGGGCGCTCCCACATCCACGTGGCATAGTATGTGGGCCGAGTTGAGTCACCCACCACCACAGCGGTCGGTAGAACCGCATCAATCACCTGAAAGAAAGCCGCAAAATCAGGGTGCATATGCTGATAGCGCGCATTTTCCTGTCGCAATAATGCAACATCACACCAGCTCACACGGGGCTCCGCAGGCACACTCGCGAGCAGCCTGGAGAGCACTTCCGCAGCATCTCCAACCAAACCAACGGTAGGCTCAGCATTCAGCTTCAGTTGCTGCGCATCAATATCGATACGCAACATCGGTTGGGTCCAGGCGATATCACCGAGCATCAACAGATCAAAATCCGTTTCGCCCAATTCCGTGCCTACCACAACGAACACATCCGCAGCTGCCAGTAAATCACGCACGCCAGGCAGGGACGGTGATCCGCCCACCCACAAAGGATGACTGGCGGGAATCAGACCTTTCGCATTTACCGTGTTAACGATCGGCGCACCAAGACATTCTGCCAGTTGTCGCACCTGTGGACCTGCAGATTGGCTGCCGCCACCCACCACAATGACCGGACGTGCCGCCTCGTCCAACAGGTCCAGCGCAGCAGTCACGTCAGGTACGGGGGGCTTAGTTGCGCTCGGCAATGATTCAGACGTCTGCAGCGGTTCGACATCCTGACGCCACCAGGACAGGGGAATCTGCAGATATCGGGGCCCAGGACGCTCCGAGTGATGGGCAGTCAGCGCTTTTTGCAACCACGATATTGCACTTTGTGGATCGCTGGGTTGAACGGCCTCGACACTGACCCCGGAAGCAATACTCAGCTGGTCCGGCAGCTCATGTAAGCGCCCCTCACGCCTCTTCTGGTCACCCACCGTGGCGATGACCAGCAACGGCACACTGTCAGCCAGGGCTTGTCCCATAGCGGTTAGCGCATTGGTTAACCCAGGCCCGGTGACCACAAAACAGACACCGGTTGTACCACGCACACGCGCATAGCCATCTGCCATAAAGCCAGCACCCTGTTCGTGGCGGGCTGTAACATGTGAAATAGGGAAATCCGGAAGGTAACGATAGAGCTCAATGTTATGGTTGCCAGGCACACCAAAAACAGTGTCTACACCAGCATGCTGAAACACATCGAGAATCGCTTCGGCCAATCGCTGCATAAGTCGTGACCAACTTAAGGCGTCGACTGTCTGATGCAGGACAGGACTAACTGCATAGCTGATTGACCCGTTGCAGCCTGACCACCAGAAAAAATGGTGGGTCGTCTGGGATTCGAACCCAGGACCAACGAGTTAAAAGCCCGGTGCTCTACCAACTGAGCTAACGACCCGGCGCATTGGGAAAATCAAGGCCGCGCACTTTACATATTTGCAGGCAAAAATGGAAGCCAAAAGAACGCTTGCGCAAGATAAAGCTGCGCTAGCGATAGCGGGTAGGGTCGGCTACCCCGGCAGCTGCAAACCCCTGCTGGCGAATTCGACAGCTGTCACAGACGCCGCACGCAACTCCCTCAGCATCCGCCTGATAGCAGGAGACGGTGGCTGCATAGTCAACACCCAGTGCAACCCCGGCAGAAATGATCTGCGCCTTGGTCAGATCGATCAGGGGGGTATGGATGCTAATTTTCTGGCCTTCCACACCCGCTTTGGTGGCCAGATTGGCCATTTGCTCAAAAGCCTGGATGAACTGCGGGCGGCAATCTGGATAGCCGGAATAATCAACCGCATTCACGCCGATGAAGATGTCGTGGGCATCCAACACTTCAGCCCATGCCAGCGCCAGTGACAGAAACACTGTATTACGCGCAGGCACATAGGTGATCGGGATACCTTCGGGCGTATCGGTTGGCACAGCGATGCTCGCATCGGTTAGCGCAGATCCACCAAACGCACTGAGATCAATATCCAGCACTTTATGTTGTTGCGCCAGGTGAGCCACTTTCTTAGCAGCATTGAGCTCGGATACCGAGCGCTGATTATAGTTAAAGGATAATGCGTAACAGCTGTAACCCTGGGCGGCCGCCATGGCCAGGACGGTGGCTGAATCCAGTCCACCTGATAACAACACCACGGCTTTTGATTTTTCTGTGCTCATCGCCCGGGTTCATCTCCCCACAACAGTTTGTGCAGCTGCAACTGCATACGCACAGGTTTTTTATCCTGCACAATCCAGTTGGCAAGATCAGTGGGATTGAGCTGCTCATAGCTGGGCGAAAACAAGACTTCAGCTACGCGTTCATAAAGGCTATGTTCATCACACTTGAGCTTTGCCCACTCATAGTCCTGCCGGTCGCAGATAACAAACTTCACCTGATCGTGGGGATTCAGCGCGGCCATGTTTGACCAAAGGTTACGGTGCGATTCTGCTGACGCCGGCGTTTTAAGATCAACGACCTTCACCACTCTCGAGTCCACGTCATCAACAGCAAGCGCCCCACTGGTTTCCAGCGAAACACTTAAACCAAGATCACATAACCCGGTCATCAGTTCATGCACGCCTGGCTGTGCAAGCGGTTCACCCCCGGTTACGGTGACATGTTTTACACCGTGGCTGACAACTTCGTCGATCACATCTCTGATGGCGATGATCTGACCACCGGAGAATGCATAGGCACTGTCGCAGTAGGTACAGCGCAGGGGGCAGCCAGTAAGTCGAACAAACACGGTGGGTAAACCCACAGTATTTGCCTCACCCTGCAGGGAAAGGAAAATTTCTGTAATGCGAAGAGAAGCAACAGCTTCAGCAGCCTGGCTCACTGTTTTAACGCTGCAGTTCTGCCGCGTATTTCTGCGCCAGGCCTGCTGCTGGACTGTTTGGGTGTTGCTGCTGGACCCGCTGCAGATAGTCCAATGCACTTTGCTTATCACCCAGATTGTCGTACACCACACCCAACTTATACAGGGCGTCAGGTGCTTTCTGATGATCCGGGTAAAGGTTTACAACCTGCGCAAATGCCTGGCGTGCCAGCTCCGGCTCGAGGTTACCGACAAGGTGCAGTTCGCCGATCCAGTAATATGCGTTTGGCGTAAACTGGCCGTTAGGATACGTTTCAATCAGACGCTGAAAACCCACCATAGAGGCATCAAAGTCGCGCGCGCGCATGGCTTCAAACGCTTGTGTGTAGGCGTCTCTTTCACTCAGGTTTGTGGGACTGTTACCTGAGGGTATTGATTCTGGCGCGGACGTTACCGGTCCAGGCGCTGGCTGCTTTTCGGTAATCGCCATGACGCGACGATCCAGGTCGAGATACTGCTCTTTCTGATCGCGTTGCAGGCGATTAACCAGATAGGTCTGTTCTTCAACCTGACCACGCAGGTCCTGAATCTCCTGCTGCAACACCTGCAGTTGATAGAAAAGTTCGCTCAGCTGACCTGAGCTTGCTGCACCGGTTTTTTGACCGGTACTGATCTGCGCGGCTGTATAGGCGGATTCCGCAGTCGCCGCCAATGAACCGTCGCTGTTATACGACGGTTCAATTGTTGGCGGAATATCAAGACTCCGGGCGCGATCGTCACGGCTTTCAGGCTCGGGACTGATAGACAGATCCGCTTGCACCCCACGCCTTGAATCTTCCACAGACTCTTCTATAGGCACTGCAGCTTGAATAGCCGGTGCAATAGTATGCGCAGCCAGGGCTGCACATACTAAAAACACGTTGGCGCGAAGTGTCTGTCGAAAAATATTCACAGCCCGGATTACCTCAATATTGTCTAGCGATAAACCATAACCGCACGACGGTTACGTTCCCAGGCTGCTTCCGTGTGACCAGGATCAGCCGGCTGCTCTTCACCATAGCTTACTGTCTCAATCTGACGTGCTGACACACCGGCTGAAAGCAGGAAGCTGCGAATTGAGTCTGCGCGACGCTCGCCTAGAGCCAGGTTATATTCGCGAGTACCACGTTCATCACAGTGGCCTTCCAGCACAATGCTGCGATTACTGTTACGACGCAGAACCTGAGCATGTAACTCCAATGCTGCTAAATCACTGGGCTTCAACACCGCACGATCGTAGGCAAAGTAAAAGGTGCGTGTCAGTGGACGACCGTCAGGGCCAATCGCGTTACCGGCGCTGTCAAAATCTGCCAGTTCGGGTTCAGGTTCAGGCTGAGGTACAGGCTGAGGTGCAGGTTGTTCGATCGGTTCAGGTTCGGGTACCGGCTCAGTTGACGTGCTGGAACAACCAGCCATCAGTAGGGCAGCTAACACCAGCGTCATCAAACTGGGGAAGCGGGGTGATTGCATCTGCATCAAGTTCTCCTTTGGTTGCACAAGGCAACATTTTAATATGCTGACGAGAATTGCTCCTGGTCAGCTTGTTAAGTTCTCTTTTCGAGATCTATTTTTAAATATTACTTTTAAGTTCTAAGTTTTACTTTTGCTCAGCCGTCTAAAAACGGCGACCAAGCGGGTTCTCTTACATCGCCAGACGACGAAGGTAAGCGATACTTCACGCTGCCATCGATCGACACCACCGCAAGTATACCCCGACCCCTGTCCTGAGTGGCATATATGAGCATCGTGCCATTTGGCGCAAGCGATGGCGACTCATCTAAGTCTGTTTGCGTCAACACCTGCAAATTGTCGCGTTCCAGGTCTTGCCATGCAATATGGAATACGCCATTTGTCCGGTGTACAAAAACCAGATGCTTACCGTCGGGCAGCAATCGGGCGCGCGCATTATAGTCACCACGAAACGTAAGTCTCTCTAAAAGATTAGTAGATAGGTCCAGTTGATAAATTTGTGGTCTACCGCCCCGGTCAGAGGTGAAAATAATGCTGCGGCCATCCGGCGACCAGCTCGGTTCAGTATCAATTGCATGATGTCTGGTGATCTGACGCAGAGATTTGGTAGCCAGATCCATAATGAAAATTTCCGGATCACCATCTTTTGACAAGACCATTGCCAGTTGTCGGCCATCTGGCGAGAACACCGGCGCACTGTTAATGCCGCGGAAATTTGTCAGCCGCTCTCTATAAGGGCCATCGACATCCTGTATGACTATGCTTGGACGACCTGTCTCAAAAGTTACATAGACCACACGCTTGCCATCCGGTGCCCAACTGGCAGACATGATCGGTTCCCGTGAGCTGAAAAGCGTACGCGATCGCTCGCCATCCGAATCCGCTATTTCCAGTTGGTAAACCGCATCTGGACTACCAGCATTACGCGCCAGCACGTACATTATTTTCGTCGAGAAAGCGCCACGAATACCGGTGACCTCTTCATAAATGGCATCAGCAATCTGATGTGATACGTCGCGCCACTGACTGCGAGCCACTGAGTAGCGACGGCTCAGCATAAGACGCTCACCCAGCACATCGTACAACTCGAACTCGACCGCAACGCGGCCATCGGCGTCGACACGCGCGTTACCAATCACCAGATAGGCAGACTTCAGAATACGCCAATCACGGAAAAACACAGTCGCGCGACTGCTTGGGTAGGACAGCATGTTTTCCGATGCAAGGGGATCAAACTGACCACTGCGGGCAAGATCAAAACCAACAATATCAGCAATGTTTGTCTCGCTCATGAGACTCGGATCCATTTTGAACGGCACGATTGCCACGCGAATGGGCTCATCAACCCCACGATCGATAATGATCGTATCGAGAGAGCCGGCAGCAAATGTCGCGTTACTGACCAGCAGACTGACACACACCGAAAACAAAACAACTAACACAAATGATATTTTTTGCATGATATTAGCCCGCAGCCGATCCGTCGAAACGGATCACTACCTCAATAAATCCTCTGGTTGAAACAAAAAGTAAAACTGACGGAAATTCTCTTCAAAAATAGCGTTGTCCTGTGGCACCTCAAAACGCCTGGCGCGTCGTACCGCTTGCTCTGCTGAACGATCAAACGCTGTACTGCCTGAAGATTCAACAACGCTAACCGCTACGACCTCGCCGGTTGGAATGAGTTCAACCAGAAGTTTCGCCGACATGCCATTACGTGCACTGGGCGGCCGCGACCAGTTCTGCCGCACCAGCTCGTAGATGCCCAGCTGATAGGACTGCGCCACCATTTCCGCCGTACCGGCCTGCAGATTGGCAGATTCAGTTGAAATGGCCTGCTCCAAGGATGACTGTGCAAGATCGTTGAGTCGTTGCTGACGTTCCAGCCGCTCACGCTCCTGTTCCGCCAGACGATCGGCTTTTTCCTGCGCCTGTTTAGCCTTCAACGCCTCGGCTTTTTTCTTCTCCGCCAGAGCAGGATCTTCTTTTGCCGGACTTACCGGCTTGGGTTTGGCTATTGGCGTCGGCTGAGCAACAGGTTTGCTGATGGGTGCCGGCGCGGGTCTTGCTTTGGGTTCCAGCACCAGAAGATTTGCCATAACGGCTTGCGGGCGGATCACATTGAGCTGCTTCTGTTCCGGCGTCCAGCCGCTGTAAAGCGCCCAGGCAGCAATGCCATGCAGACCAAGGGCGAGCATAAAAGGGCCGCTATATTGGCGTAACCAATACACCTCAGCCCCCTAGAGACGGTGGGTCGGTAATTAACCCCACGCTTTTTGCCCCCGCTTTTTGAAGAACAGTCATCACACCCACAACATTGCCATAATCTAACGTATGGTCTGCTTTTATATAAACCGGCACGTCATCGCGTGCTCTTAGAATTTTTCCAGCCTGCTCTTCCAGAGAAAAGACGGTCACCCGGGTACCTTCATCATCTGCGTCGAGCATGCCGAGGTTCATGAAAATGGCACCGTCTGCACGCATTGAGACCACCAGCGGATCTTCAACTGAATCATCAATGCTTTCCGAAGGCGCCTCGGGCAAGTCGACAACCACACCCTGGGTAAGCAGTGGCGCGGTAGCCATGAAAATAACCAGCAGCACAAGCATCACGTCGATATAAGGCACAACGTTGATTTCAGACATCGGTTTACGACGGGCAGCCATGTCTAGCTCTCTTCTATGCGCGTATGCGCTGCACGGTGCAGAATCGTAGACACTTCATCGGCAAAAGCTTCGTAACGTTTCATCAGAATTTCTACCCGGGCAGAAAAACGGTTGTAGGCAATCACCGCGGGGATAGCCGCAAACAAACCCATCGCGGTCGCCACCAGGGCTTCAGAAATGCCTGGCGCAACGGATGCCAACGTTGCCTGGCTCATGTTCGCCAGCGAGCGGAAAGAATTCATGATGCCCCAGACCGTACCAAACAAACCTACGTAAGGGCTGGTGGATCCTACCGTGGCGAGAAAGGGTAAGTGGGTTTCAAGACGCGCTTCCTCACGATTCACCGCAACCCGCATGGAGCGTTGAACGCCCTGCATAATCGCTTCAGCATCAACCCCGGCCTGCTCAGATAGGCGCGTGTATTCGCGAAACCCTGAAGCAAAAATGTTTTCAATGCCGTTCAGACTGTCTTCACGCTCGAGTTCAACAAAAAACTTGCGCAAATCGATACCTGACCAGAAATGTTCTTCAAAATCTTCCACTTCAGCCTGGGCGCGGCGGAGAAAAAACCAACGCTGGAAGATCATCATCCACGACACCACGGACGCCAGCACCAGCAGCGCCATAACGCCCTGAACCAGCAGGCTGGCGTTCGAGATGAGTTCAAAAATAGAAAGCTGTTCCGCCACTGATTACTCCTTTAATCCAACGACATGCGGCTCTGGGACGTTTGCGCTGGAGGCAGTTTATCCTCTCCAGGCGGTGTTATGCCAAAGTGCTGATAACACTTGGCTGTAGCCACCCGACCCCGCGGCGTGCGCATGATATACCCTTGTTGAATTAAATAGGGCTCAATCACATCTTCGATGGTGTCTTTCTCTTCACTCACCGCCGCGGCCACTGATTCCAGCCCGACCGGTCCACCACCAAACTTATCCAGGATGGCAGACAGCAGGCGACGGTCCATCAGATCAAAACCCTGTTTATCCACTTTCAACAGGTTGAGCGCGTCATCCGCAATTTCGGCGCTGACCAGGCCGTTACCTTTGACCTGAGCAAAATCCCTGACTCGGCGCAGCAATCGGTTAGCGATCCGGGGGGTACCGCGACTTCGGCGAGCGATTTCCGCTGCGCCTGCGAGATCTGTCTGCAGCTCAAGTTTGGCCGCGGAGCGCGTCACTATCTGCGTTAACTCTTCCACAGTATAGAATTCCAGGCGCTGCACAATACCAAAACGATCGCGCAGCGGACTGGTCAACAGACCAGCCCTGGTTGTCGCGCCAACCAGAGTAAATGGCGGCAGATCCAACTTCAGCGAGCGTGCAGCAGGGCCTTCACCAATCAATATATCCAGCTGAAAGTCTTCCATAGCCGGATACAGAATCTCTTCTACTACCGGCGACAAACGATGGATCTCATCCACAAATAAAACATCACCTTCGTCAAGATTTGTCAGCATCGCCGCCAGATCGCCCGGTTTTTCCAATACCGGTCCCGAGGTGGACTTGATGGTGCCGTGCATCTCCCTGGCAATAATATTCGCCAGCGTTGTTTTGCCAAGCCCGGGAGGGCCGAAGATCAATGTGTGATCCAATGCTTCACCCCGACCTCTGGCAGCGCGGATAAAGATGTCCATCTGCTCTTTTACCGCACTCTGACCGATATATTCACTCAGACTGATCGGACGCAGAGCATGGTCGTGGCGCTTTTCTCCAGGCTCAGAGTGACCAGATATGAGGCGATCGGGCTCAATGCTCATGACGCACCTGACGACTGTACAAAACCGCGCAGAGCGAGCCGCACCAAAGTTTCAGCACTTGGTTGTTCCTGGGTGGCCTGTTGGCTGGCAGCCGCGACTGCGCGTTGTGCTTCCGTAGGCCGATAGCCAAGCGCAATCAATGCATCCTCTGCCTCGCCTACCTGGCTGTGTGCGCGTGGCGTGAGGGCGCCATCAGCGCTGACCACCGCCGCAGGCATTGAGCCATTCCGGGTCAACTGGTCGATTCTGCTTTTTAATTCAACCATTAACCGCTCCGCAGTTTTACGACCTACGCCCGGCACTTTGGTTAATACAGATACGTTGTTATCCCGCACGGCGACACCCAGCGTGTGTGGATCGAGGGCAGAAATCAACGCCAGCCCGAGCTTGGGTCCTACGCCGTTTATTTTGATAAACGCACGAAAAAGGTCACGTTCATGCTTATTGGCGAATCCAAACAGCAGCTGTGCGTCTTCACGAACGACAAAGTGTGTAAACAGAGTGAGTGCCGTTCCCGTCTGCGGCGCAGCCTGCAGTACGTTCGCAGATACCTCTACCTCGTAAGCAACACCTGCCACATCTACCAGCAGATGTGTTGCATCCAGCTCGATGAGCTTACCTGTGATCCTGCCAATCAAGATATCTGACCTGTTCGTTCTAGTGCTTAAAGGCCGCAGTATTGACGTGGCACACTGCAATGGCAAGCGCGTCTGCGGCATCTGCCTGAGGCAGGCCGGAGAGTTGCAGAAGGGCTTGTACCATATGCTGCACCTGGGCCTTGTTAGCTCGACCGGTACCGACAACGGCCAGCTTAACCTGCCGCGCCGCGTATTCATAAACCGGCAACTGCGCCGCTACTGCTGCCGCAATGGCCACACCTCGCGCCTGGCCAAGCTTTAAAGCTGACTGAGGGTTACGCGCCACAAACACATTTTCGATGGCAAATTCATCTGGCTGATACTGATCGATCAGTTCTTTTACACCAGTGTAGATTTGACCCAGACGTGCTGGCAGGTTGGTTCCCGCCGTGCGAATACAGCCGCTGGCACAATAAGTTGTGTTGCGACCCTGGACCCTGATCAAGCCATACCCGGTGACCACTGAGCCAGGATCTATACCCAGCACACAGCGACTGTGTGCCGGCGGGTTAAGCACCGCGATCAGTCGTAAGCACTGTCAGGAAAGTCGCCATTGCTGTACACCTCCTGCACATCGTCAAGCTCTTCCAATGCATCCAGCAAACGCAGCACTTTCTGAGCCAGTTCTTCATCACAGTCAGTTGTCGTCGAAGCCACCATCGTCACTTCGTTATGATCGGGCGACAGCCCCGCTTGCGTCAACGCGGTGACCACATCAGAGAGGTTTTCCCAGGGCGTCGTGACAGACAGTGCACCATCTTCTTCTGCTTCGATGTCTTCAGCGCCCGCTTCCAGTGCCACCTCCATCACCTGCTCCTCGTCCGAGCCCGGGGCAAAGTTGATGATCCCTTGTTTTGCAAAAAGGTAAGCCACAGACCCATCTGTTCCCAGATTACCGCCTGCTTTGCTGAACGCATGGCGTACTTCTGCGACGGTACGATTTCTATTGTCGGTCATCGCCTCAACTAAGATGGCAACACCGCCGGGACCGTATCCCTCGTAGACCAGTTCTTCGACGTCACTACCTTCACCGTCACCAGCACCACGCGCTATGGCGCGCTCAATGGTGTCCTTCGGCATATTTGCTGCCAGAGCCTTGTCGACAGCAGCACGCAACCTTGGATTATCCGCAACTTCACCTCCACCTAGACGCGCAGCAACAGTCACTTCACGAATAATTTTGGTGTAAAGCTTGCCTCTTTTTTTGTCCTGGGCGGCTTTGCGATGTTTGATGTTCGCCCATTTACTGTGACCTGCCATATTGGTTGCAACACCTCGTTCGATATTTAGCTTTATTCAGACCAATCGCTGCATTCAGACTGCAGTTTGAGTCGGCTTCCTGACACGTATATGCAGATCCCGCAGCTGATGTTCATCTACCTCATTGGGCGCTGACATCATCAGACAGGCTGCCGTCTGGGTTTTCGGAAAGGCAATAACATCCCGAATGGATTCCGTCTGAGTCATCAGCATCACCAGACGATCAAGACCAAACGCAATGCCCCCGTGTGGCGGACAGCCATACTGCAGCGCATCAAGGAGAAAACCAAATTTGGCCTGGGCTTCCTGACCCATCTGCAGCGCTTTAAATACCGCTGCCTGCATCTGCTGGTCGTGTATCCGCAATGAACCACCACCAATTTCGGAACCGTTAACCACCACATCATATGCTGCAGCGTATGCCTGCAACGGCTGCGCCAGCAATTCCTCAGGCGTGCACGTGGGTTGTGTGAAGGGGTGATGTTCCGCGCCCAGAGTGCCGTCTTTATTTGCGGCAAACATTGGAAAGTTGACTACCCAACAGGGCGCATAACCCGATGCGATAATATCCATGCGCTCACCCAGTTCGTTACGCAGCGCACCCATGGAGTCGTTCACAACTTTCGCCTGATCCGCACCAAAGAAGACCACATCACCATCTTCAGCACCAACACGCTCGAGAATGGCAGCGGTTACCTCCTCAGGAAGAAATTTCAGAATCGGCGACTGTAAGCCGTCATAACCCGCTGTCAGATCGTTTATTTTTATGTACGCAAGTCCCTTCGCCCCATACCGTCCGACAAACTCTGTGAGTTCATCAATTACCCTGCGCGGCAGTGCAGCCGCCCCCGGCGCTCGCAGGGCAACCACGCGTCCCTGCGCATCGTTAGCGGGTCCGCTGAAAACTTTAAACTCAACATCCTGCAGCAGGTCTGCAATGTCGGTCAGGCGCAGAGGGTTGCGCAGGTCTGGCCGATCACTGCCAAAATCACGCATCGCTTCATCCCAGGTGAGTACGGGGAATTCGCCCAGGTCGATGTCCAGCAGATCTGAAAACAAGCCAGACAACAGCCCTTCAGTCAATTCCATAACCTGTTGCTGACTGATAAACGATGCTTCGATATCAATCTGTGTAAATTCCGGCTGCCGGTCAGCGCGCAGGTCTTCATCACGATAACAGCGGGCTATCTGGTAGTACTTGTCCATACCGGACATCATCAGCAGCTGTTTATAAACCTGTGGCGACTGTGGCAAAGCAAAGAACTGACCCGGATGCGTACGGCTGGGTACCAGATAGTCCCGCGCACCTTCAGGTGTTGCACGAGACAAAGTTGGCGTTTCGACTTCCCAGTAGCCGTTTTCTTCGAGGTAACGGCGTGTTTGGCTCGCAATCGCGGCACGCATGCGCATCCGATTCTGCATCTCCGGCCGGCGCAGATCCATATATCGATAACGCAGGCGCACATCTTCACCCGCCTCAGAATGCTGATCCAATTGAAACGGCGGAGTTTGTGCGACATTAAGAATTTCCAGTTCCAGACCGAGGATTTCAATCTCGCCGGTGGCCATATCGGGATTAACGGTACCTTCAGGGCGGGCGCGAACACGACCTTTTGCACGCAGAACATATTCATTGCGCACACTATCAGCCAGCGCAAAACTCTCTACCGTATCTGGATCGTAAACAACCTGAACAATCCCGGTTCGATCGCGCAGATCAAGAAAGATCACACCTCCGTGGTCGCGGCGCCGATGAACCCAACCACAGACTGCCACCTCCGCACCAATCTTCGACGCATTGATCTCTCCACAATAATCACTACGCATAGCGCTTTTCCCGTAAATTCATTATTTATCCACTACCGTGGACTGATATTTTGCCCACCACCGTGGGCTGATAGTTAGCCCACTATTGTGGGCTGATTGTGCGCCTTCTTAAAGGCGCGAGTTCTAACGATTGCGCCTACGCACTGTCCGAAGAGCTGGATGAACCCGATTTGCTGGTGTCTGCACCACCGCTGCCCGAACCACCCGCGTCTGATGAACCAGAGCTCGAAGTAGAACTAGCGCTTTCCGAGCCGGACACATTCTTTTTCTTGCCGGATTTAAAGTCTGTCTCGTACCAACCACCACCTTTAAGACGAAAGCCGGCAGCCGATATACGCTTGATCAAACTGTCTTTATTACAGTTTGGGCAGGATTTTAATGGGTCGTCGCTGAGTTTCTGCATGGCTTCGAGTTCGTGCCCGCAATTGTCACAACGGTACTCATAGATTGGCATTTTTGGTTATCTCAATAGCTTGCGGTTCAAATGAGCGGCGCATGATCGTAAAAAAACCAATAAAAATACAGTGATTTTGTCACTTTTTGTTGCGAAAGCAGTGTGTGATGGGCTATAAAGCGCGGGCATCAGACACTGGTGTTCCGAATCATCCAAGTCCACAACCAAATAAAGTATTTGTGAACAGACAAAGATCAGAAAAAATTCAGCATCAGCGACCTTTTTCTGAACGCGTCTGCGCACATTTTTTGTGTTTGTTTGTTTGTTAAAGACTTAATAAGCACGAAAAGCTTGAGGTTTGGGCAGAGCAGAGTTTGAGAGACGTTGCGAAACCCCTTGGTAACCACGCCGACTTTGGTCTAAGCGCGGTTAAAAGAGTGGAATTGCGCTGTTTATAACTGACGAAAAGGAATAGTTCATGGCTACTCGTAAGAAAGCCCCAGCGAAGAAGAAAGCGCCTGCAAAGCGCCCAGCAGCTAAAAAAGCACCCGCCAAGAAAAAGGCACCTGCTAAAACGAAAGCGCCCGCAAAGCGCCCAGCAGCTAAAAAAGCACCTGCCAAGAAAAAGGCACCTGCTAAGAAGAAAGCGCCTGCAAAGCGCCCAGCAGCTAAAAAAGTTGCAGCAGCTCCAGCAGCGAAGAAGTCTGGTATCTCTACCAAGATGACCAAGACCGCTATCTTGAATGAGATTGCGCAGAACACAGATCTGAGCCGTGCTCAGGTAAACGCTGTAATGGAAGAGCTTGAGTCTTTGATTGAACGTCACATCCGCAAGCGTGCGGTTGGTGAGTTCACATTGCCTGGCTTGTTGAAAATCAAAGCTGCAAAGCGCCCTGCTACCAAGAAACGCATGGGTCGCAACCCTGCAACTGGCGCAGAGATTGTGATTCCGGCCAAGCCGGCAACCACACGCGTACGCGTAACGGCTCTGAAAAAGCTCAAGGATATGATCTAAACACTCATAACCGAGCTTAAAATAAGGGCCGTTTGGCATGCCAATCGGCCCTTTTTTGTGCGCGACTGATAAAGTTGCACTTGTTGATAACCCACGGGATTAGAGATGCGCCAATCGCAATTTTTGCTGCCTACCATGAAACAGGACCCTGCCGATGCAGATGTTATCAGTCACAAGCTGATGTTACGCGCAGGCATCATTCGTCAGCTTGCCAGCGGGTTGTACACATGGTTACCCCTGGGTCTGCGTGTGCTGCGGAAAATAGAAACCATTATCCGCCAGGAAATGGATGCAACCGGGGCCCAGGAACTGCTTATGCCAGTGGTTCAACCCGCAGAACTCTGGCAAGACTCTGGCCGTTGGGAAAAAATGGGGCCCGAAATGGCCCGTCTGCAGGACCGCCACGAGCGTGACTTCTGCCTGGGTCCCACCCACGAAGAAGTGATAACCGATCTGTTCAGGCGTGAAATTCAAAGCTACAAAGAGCTGCCGGTAAACTTCTATCAGATACAAACCAAGTTTCGAGACGAACGACGACCACGCTTTGGGGTAATGCGCGCGCGTGAATTCACCATGAAAGACGCTTATTCCTTTCACGCAGACCAGGAATCATTCGACGCGACTTATCAGGAAATGTACAACTGTTACAGTCGGATCCTGACCCGCATGCAGCTGGATTTTCGCGCTGTTGAAGCAGACTCTGGCAACATTGGTGGCAGCAACTCACATGAATTTAACGTGCTTGCCGCATCGGGCGAAGACACCATCGTTTACGCATCAAACGGTCCTTATGCGGCCAACATCGAAAAAGCCGAAGCAGCAGCGCCAGCCGCGCGACCTGCCGCCAGCCAGAACATGGCGGTTGTTGATACACCGGAAGATAAAACCATCGCCGCAATCTGTCAGCGCCTTAACATTACACCCGATACAACCGTTAAGACGTTGCTGGTGCGAGGCGAAGAAGGTCCGATTGCGATCATCCTGCGCGGTGACCACGATCTTAATGAGATCAAAGCCGGCAAATTACCTGGCATATCCCAGCCGCTGAGCTTCTGTACAGATGCCGAAATCAAGAAGGCAACGGGTGTATCTGCCGGCTCGCTGGGCCCAGTTAACGCCCAGGTTCCCTATCTGGTTGATCGTGAGGCAGCGGCGCTGGCTGATTTTGTTTGTGGCGCCAATATTGAAAGTCAGCATTTTACCGGAGTTAACTGGGAGCGTGACTGTGCACTTGAAGCCCATCAGATCGTTGATGCACGCAACGTGGTAGAGGGCGATACCGCACCTGACGGTCAAGGTGAGCTGCGATTTTTGAAGGGAATTGAAGTCGGTCACATTTTTCAACTGGGTACAGTTTACAGTGCAGCCATGGACGCAAATGTACTGGACAAGGACGGTCACAGCCTGACCCCGATCATGGGCTGTTACGGCATGGGTGTCACCCGTCTGGTGGCAGCTGTTATCGAACAGAACCACGACGACAACGGCATATGCTGGCCAACCCCTCTGGCGCCATTCCAGCTTCATCTAATTGCGTTGAACTATCAGAAATCAGACGCGGTTAAAGCTGCAGCAGATGACCTGTACGACAAATGCCAGGCATTGGGTATTGAAGTCCTGTTCGATGAGCGAGATGAACGCCCCGGCGTCAAGTTCGCCGATGCAGACCTTATAGGGTTGCCGCACCGGATTGTTGTCGGCGACCGCGGTTTGAAAAACAACTGTGTGGAGTACAAAACCCGCCGCGATGAAAAAGCCACCGAGTGCAGCCTGGACACGGTGCTGGACAACCTGACCGAATAGCTCATGGACAGGTTATGCAAACGCATTCTACTGCTGCTGGGTTGTATGTGTTTCGTCCCACAGGGCGTCATCGCAGCGGTTGAAGTTGATCCCGTATTACGTGAGCGCCTGGCCCAGAACATGGCCGAAGTGCACGAACATATCGATCGTTTTGATGCACAGGTATGGCTGCAGGTTTCAGATCAGCGCCTGCAACGTTATCTGCCCAAACAGGCAGACCGCCTGGAACTGTTAAAACTGGTCTACACAGAAGCCACCCGGCAAAACCTGAACCCCAACCTCGTGCTGGCGGTGATGCAGATAGAAAGTGCTTTCAACCGTTTTGCCATTTCTTACGTCGGCGCCCAGGGTCTGATGCAGGTGATGCCGTTCTGGCGTTTAGAGATCGGTCGCGAACAGGATAATCTGATCAACGCAGAAACCAACATCCGCTATGGCACCGTTATTCTGGCGCATTATATCGAAGTTGCTAAAGGCGACCTTGTGGATGCCCTGGCGCGTTACAATGGCAGTCGCGGACGTCTGAAATATCCGGAAAAAGTGATCGGTGCGTGGCGTAAAACCTGGCGTAACCAACCCTGGAGCGAGCTACCCCTGCTGCGCGCCAGCTGCGCAAACTATCCATTGCGTGCCTGTCGCTATCAGTAAAGCCAATCCGCCAGTTTAGTTCATCGCTGCGAGGATACTGGCTCCCGTCTGCGGGCCCTGCAGAATTCGGTGCACTTCGCGTGCCGGGTTAATTAACACGGTCATCGGCAGCACGGTGGCGCGCTCATAGCCGTAACGCTGTTGCGGGTCCTGCACAAACACGGGAAATTCAATATCCATGCGTTCGATCACCTCGTCCAGCTTAGGTGCGACAAGCCCATCATAGTTAACGCCCAGAACAACCGCGCCATTGGCCACTCTATCTTCATGCAGCTGGTTCAATTCAGGAATTTCATGGCGACAGGGTGCACACCATTCAGCCCAATAGTTAATCACCAGCCAACGATCATCCCAATGTGAGAGCTGGGTTTTTGTACCATCAGCAAACTCAATCTGTTCTTCGGGTACACAACCCGCAGCCATTACCAGCAATACACACAAGACAGCCTTTTTCATGTGGTAAACACCAACTCCATACTTTTTGACATTTCATTTGAGCCGAACTGGGTAATGGCGATCAGCGGCGCCACAACCTGCGGCAGGTCTTTGATTTCCTCGAGGCGCTTGCGGTCCAGACCATCAGGCAGCTCCTGGTACAGATCCCATAGCGTGATACTTTTCAGGCTTCGGCCCAGAATCCAGCGCTCATCATCTGTCTGATTCAGCAGACGATGTCGATGAAACACTGCAAAAATACGGTCATGTTCACTCTGACTCAAGGCTACATTCAACTGTATTTCCCGATCAGAAACTGAACGTCCGTCGAGGTGTGCAAGATGGAACATCTGCAGCACCCGTGTAGCTTTTATCAATACCGGTTCACGCGACGAATGCGCCTCTCGATTCAGGCCCAGCGTACGCACAAATATCGCGCCGCCCAGGATAATTACCCAGACCAGATACAGCCAGATCAGGAACACGGGTACAGCGGCAAACGTGCCATAAACCGCGTTGTACATAAACCAGCGTGAACTCATTGCAAAGACCGCGAAGGCGGACTGAAACACCAGCATAGTGACAAATCCACCAAACAGCGCATGGGTGAATGGCACATGACAATTCGGTACGGCGAAATAAAGCACCGTAAAGCCGGCGATACTTAACAGCAGCGGCAGATAGCTCAGTATCATTTCGCGCAGA